AAAGGATCAACAGCGGCCCCTGCCTGCTCAGCGTGTGCACCTCCACTGCAGCACATCAACACGACAAATAGAAGCAGCACCGCAGAAGCAAACACACGCCGGGACATGTTAGGCCTCTGCGGCTCACTCTCTCTTCCTTCCCTCCTCCTTCCGCTGGATCCGGTCACGCGGCGACGGTTGTGTGTGCGGGGTACCTTCACTGCAGCAACACGTGAGAGCATATAAATATGTGTGTGTGTGGGCGGTGTGTGTGCTGTTGGTCCCTTCAGAGCCTTCGAATTTCACAGTAGCGTTTAGCGTTTATTTTCCTTCTTGGAGAAGCGCAACAGGCAACAGCGGCAGAAAGGCAGCACAACAGCAGTACACACCGTCACCACTCAAAGCGAAGCACAACATCACCATCCCCGCAGCCATTACTCCCCAGCACCTCTCAACAGCACACAAAAATTAAGGAAAAAAAAACATGTGATCGACCTCCCAATGAGGGACCGCAAGCCACGGTCCTGCAAATAAGCCAAGCGACAGGGGGCCACGTGTGCAGTGAGGAGCACGAGAGTTGCACTGCAACGGCACGGCGGCGTGGCACCCTGTTGGGAGCATCGATGCAGACCGGCGACATCGCCTGCAGGAAGAGTTGCTTCTCCCGCTGAGCAAAAAGGAAAAACAGCCTCAGCGCCCCAATGATGAGAGGTCGCCTGTACCTCCTCGCGGCACCTGCAGAGCTTGCAGGCACAAAAATGTAGATGACGCTCTCCTGCACGCATGACGCCCGTCTCATCCTTAAAAATGGCAACCGCATCCTGTGGCACCACACGCTGCAGTCGATGTGCACAGTCTCCGTCTCCCTCCCTCCTTTCCCTCTCCCTGAGAACTCATCGGCGGCCGTGGCACACTCACCAACATGTCAGAAATCACTTGTTTTTCTTCCTCCCCCGCACATCGCACAGCAGCACCGCCAAACGCATGCCACTCCTTCGTTCGCGGATTCCCCTCAGACACGCCTCCCGCCACATTCATCAACCCACAGCCACACAGTCCGTAAACGTCACGCAGCCGCCCCGCATGATGGAGCCGCACACACCAACTCGACACCACGCCACTCGGCGCAAGCAGCGTCTGGACACACAAAACAGGTTGCCCCAGCAAACGACAGCTCCCTCCAAGCAGTGAGACAGGACTCGTCAGTAACAATCAAACAATCAGCCCCTCGTCTCTTCATTCCGCCATGCACAAGATTCCACCTGCCCCTTGCATCATCCGTGAGGCCCGGGCTCTCAATGAGCGAGCAAAACGCTATGGTCCCCTCGACTCAACGAGAAACCCATTGACAATTCCCAACCAGTCGTCTCCATGGGCTGTGCATGAGGAGCACCACGGCAAAAATGCACAGAAGCTTATATGCAAACCTCTCAACTCATTCCACGTCAATAAGCAGTGTGGCATCATGCCTGGGCTTCACAACAATGTCGACTGGCGCTTCCCCGAGAGGCCTCCCATAAACACCGCACGTGGTCACAGTAAAGAAAAAGCAACGCCTCCAATCTGGCTGTCACCCCGCGGCGAACATCAAAGCAAAATCCAACAAAATGCCGCAAATCATCACATATTTCACACAGACCATCGACAGCTTACGCCGCAAATGCACAGCACGGAAGAAGAGCCATGCTCACAAACACGCAACACACAGACACAGTAAGAGAGTTGGAAAAGCAGCACCCAAAGCCATCCCCTGTGGATGCAAATGATAATGGCACCAAACAACGCGAAGCACCAGTCGGGCACCACATGTGGGCCACAGACACCATCCACCTACCCATTCACTCTTCCTCCTCCAAATGGCGTGGCCCTCCTTCACCTCCACGAACACGCCTGCTGCTCAGTCATGCGAGCTTCTAACGCAAGCACTCAAGGTGCGTTTCGGTAATCCAAAATTCAG